CAGTAGAATAGCAGTTCGAAATTTGTATGCAGTCCTAAAGATTTTTCAGTAGAAATTGCGCATAATTTTAGTATAACGGAATTCTTATTAACTTAATAAGGTAATAAGGCAAAAATTCACCCTTTCAACTAATTATATAAATTTGTGAGAAATGGTGCAAATTTGGTGTTGAAAAATGATCATTAGACATATGCACATCAAATTATCAAATATTTCATAGAGATTTAATAATAGGTATTTTTGTTTACATTTCTATGGGTTCCGTCTAGGCTCGATGTCATGCACCATTGGATATCCTTGTAACATGGGACTGATAATTGGTACATATGTTAAATAAGTTTTAAAAATAATGTATATTCTGATTGACAATGAATACCAAAAAAAAGTTATATATGAAACCACAAATGAAATGTCAAAAGATCCCATCAATGCGATCTCTGCGATTTTTTTATTCGAGGTTAAAGGAATAAAATACTGGTTCTCACAATTTTTCGCGGAAAGTTTAAAAATGTCGAAAAAATATGTTAGGCAGATTCAATTACTATAGAATTATCTAGGAAATTGTGTATATACCTTTTTTTACTTTAGAAACACCGTTTCGAATATATTACGAACAAAAAGTTGATAAATTCATATTTTTCATAGATTAATAATTAATAATATGCAGCCTTCATAAATATAAATAAAAAAATTAGAAAAGCATTGGTTTGTGTTTAGATAGTATAAAATCAATCAGCCTTTTGAAGTATAAAACTAGAGTGTCAAGCCCCCAATTACCTTCCTCCTTGAGCAAAAATTGCCACCTAAAAGTGCGGAGGGCCCAATAATCACATACATGATTATTTTTGGAGAGAGTGAACAATTGCGAGGCGTGGTACGACTGTCTAAATTAAATTAAAAATCATCATATTGAATACATGTGCCAGTTTCTGGTGGCAACATATGAGATGGAAGATGAACTGCCCCTGCCACATATATTGGATCATTACATCATGCACACAAGTCAAAATGCGAATAAATCTGTATAAGACACAAATCCATATCCGGATCAATAAAATTTTCATTGCTCGTTTAGGAGGTTTTGGCGGTGCTTGCAGAAAAAATCGTATTTGGCAAAGTCTTCGTCAATGAATTGGGATACTCTGGAGTGATTTAAAATGCTGTCCTGGTTATGGTAGAGAGTTGAGAATTTGTGGCTTTTCAGGATTAGGTCTAGAGGTTTGGAGATTTGCGTACACGATTCACTGAAGTGTGATAGTACAAATATTAAAGATTTTATTGTTCATCTGTTGTAGTTGTTAAAGTTGTTTAAAAATTAAATGACTAATCATCAAATTAAAAAAAATCCAATAAATTTGACAATGTATATGCATTGTTATTAAAATTACGATTATTTTGACGTTTGTACAACTTTGTTATCATGCAAAGTTTCAATAAAATATTTAAAGAAAAAACATTAATTTTTACAAAGAAACGGTCCTGCCACTATTTACTAAAAAATAATCAGCATCATTTAAAATATTTTTTAAATTTAGCTGGTTATGTTTGAGAGTAGACAAGTTATGGCTGCCCCACAAAAACATTTTTTTGACCGCGAAAGTATTTGTGTAAGGCAACACTAATAGGCAGTTAATTAATTAAAAATAAATAATTTGTAATGATGTATACATTTTTTTTCTTATAAAAATAGCTCAAAGAAATCATAATTGTATTTCTGGTTGCTAAGAAAAATATTTCTAAAAATCCTACTTTACTTTAAAAAAGCATTGAATTTTCTCATATTGTTTTGGTTATATTTATTATACGCATTCACTACCATATAGAAACAATAGGACTTGGGTGGATACATCAAGCCCCAACTTCTAGAATTCAGTAAAAATACGAAATAAAGTGTAAAAATAATTAATAAAATGCAGATAAACAAATAATATAAAATATGATATGAAAAATTATGATTATTGTGTAAAAAAAATTACATCCTTATTATATAGAATATAATTTATTATAGATCAATATGATTTTCAGAAAAAAGAAAGTAGATCGCTCATGATTGCATATGCCAAAATGCTGGATCTACAATCACATTTATAACATTATATTAACGGAAGTTTTATTGAGTTCAATCGTTCATGAAAGAATAAATTAATTCATTATAGATCAATAAGATCGTCACAAAAAAGTTTAGAGATGGCTCATGAATGCAAGTGCTAAGACAATCGATCTTCAATCACCTTTGTAACATATGAAAGCAAAACTATAGCCGCCAACCTACAAGTTTTTCCTTATATTTTTCATCGCTTTCTTTTCTGAATGTCACAAAGAAGTTTCGGAGAAGAGACAATATTATATGGTTTATGAAAGTGTTTATATATATTACACGTTTATGGTGATGCTTTTGACATAAATCTTATTCTGATCTGGGATCGCTTATATACAAGGTCGTTTATCATAAACTGTCTTGTACGCGAACCTCTTCACTTCCATGTGACATATATGAAGCTCTCGTTTCTTTGCCAAAAGCGCTTAGAGTCTAGCACATTGCGAAGTGTATGTTTACTTGCATGTGGGAATTATACACAGATTTTGCAATAGCATAATCTAAGCAATTATAAGATAACTACATCGTATGATTATGCCGATTAATTACGTTCAAGTAGTTTGCAGGAAGATTTACTTGATTTGATTCAGCGAGGAATTCCTTTGCTTATAATCAACATGCAGAGTTGTATAAGAACATATTTGAGGGTACTCTGTAGACGTACAAAAAGCTGCTAATATTTTGACTTGTGACTTTGCTTACCCATTTTTTTAAAAGTATGCCATAAGTTTTAGAGATTTTTTAAACGTAAATATATTTAAAAAATTTCATTTTAGATTTTTTTTATGCTCTTGTAGTATATGATTTCCCTTTTCGGCCAACTATTGTAAATTCAAATTTATTGATTGTCCTTTACTGGACAGTTGTAAATAAAAGAGTTAATAAAAAAAATTGATTTTTTTGCAATTACTATAACTCAACCTATGTTAATAAGAAGCCATTTACCGGACTAGCATATTTCGTGCAAAAAATATTAATATATATAAAGTTGTTTAATATTTCTTTGTAAAAATTTAAAATTAAAATATAATTGTTTTAAATAAAACAAGCAGTTTGATTTCAAATACAAATAATTATTAACTTCCCGTAGGGTAAGTTATTGTAATCGCAAAAAATTAAATAACTAGTCGGTATTGGTATTTTGCCTTGAGGCAAGTTCCATGAACTTCCCGATTTGTGTGGATAATCGACTTAATCCTTGATAGATAAATTAATTTATAAGCAGTTAAAAGTATTCGAAGTGGATTTATTGAAAATCGAACACGTAAACCCGGTCGGAGTGTTTTTAAAAGCAAATTTTCAAAAATCAATAATTTTTATAATTGAACCAGTTTTTTGTAGGACTTTAATTGTTTATCATGTTCATTAAGACCAACACTATCGTTATACCAAGTAAATCGTTTAATTTTAATTTTAACAAATGTCAAAAGAACTACTCATTTTCTCAAACTTTGATGAATTTTTAAAATTAAACTATTTGTCGTCAGGCATTAATATTTCAGTAAGTTCTATAAGATCATGATATATAACGCCAAAAGAAGTTCCGTGAAAATCGGAATAATTTATTAATAATTTTTTCAACTGTTAATTACAAGAAAACGGCTCGGTAGATTTTTACCTCAAACCAATCAGTATCATTCCCAACTAATATCTTTCGAACAGTTTTTTAAAATCGATTCGGTAGTATCAGCTTAAATGTGGACGAAAAGTTTAACACTTTTTCCAAATTACAAAGAAACGGCTCGGCCGATCATCGCACAAAACTAAGAAACCGCTCAGGCCGATCTTTACCAAAAACTAATCAGCACGATTCCTAACCAATATCTTTCGAACGGTTTTTAAATTTTCATAATCGATTCAGAATTGCGGGCTAAAACGTAGACATTTTTTTCACTTTTCTGCGATTTATAAAGAAACGGCTTGGCCAATCGTCGCACAAAACTGACAAACAATGGTACTCGTCGAGATACATCGAATGGCTTTTAAATTTTTGAGATCGTTTCAGCCGTTTTTGAGAAAACGTCGATTTACGGCAAAAACCTGTTCACATACACGCACATACACACACATACTTTTTCCAAATTTGATCTCATTCGATTCAGAATGGCTTGAAACGTCGAGAAAACATAAAATTAGCGAAACGGATTTTTTGATGAAAACATAAACTTCTTCAGGAAGTTAAAAATTCAAAAATTTAAACAATATAGTTTACAGAAACAATCGAGAAGTAATAAACATATCAAATAAAGTTAGTTATTTTTCTTTTATCGACGCCGCAAACCTATCAAAGGTCGAGTAAAATTAATTAGTAAGAGTAACATAAGTTGAAAAAGCAAATTTTCAACTTTATTGTAATATTGAATACTTTACAATTTTGAAAATAGGCAGCCTGCATCGTTTTACAAAAAATTTCTTAAATTCAAAATCCAAAAATCAATAATGGTATTGCTTCAGTTTTTAAACAAATATTTGGTGACCAAAAACACGGTTGACCGAATCACACATGGGATATAATATAAATTGATTTGTTGGTGGCACCGATTTATAAAATCGCTAGTAAAAAGAGAGTATTTTTTAACAGAAAATTGGGAATTGAAAACACTATGTATTTACAAACTAACTAAAATTTATGATTTATTTATAATTGATATATAAGTTAAACTTTATATGATAAAAATTATTTTGCCAATATTACGCTTTCGGCGTATGTGATACTAACGAAAGAAGTAAGAAATTTATAAATTGTGGTTAGAAATCGTGTAGTGATTTACAACTTCAAAAAGTTTTTAAAAGTTTGAAACAATAAACGTTATATGTATACGGAGTACGCAATAAAAATTCAATCGCATCCAAGTTCTATAAAAAATATAAAACATGCATATATTGATAATAATCGACTTACCATCAACATCCTCATCTCCAACATCCCTCCAAGCTTAAAATAACCACTTGTCTCCATCAAAAAATGTATCTAGAATTCAAAATCCAAAAATCAATAAGGATTTTGCTCGGTTTTTAAACAAATGTTTGGCGCCCAAAAAACGAGGCTGGCCAAATCACACATGGGATATATCATAAAATTATGTATCGATAACAATTAACAATTTAAGAAAATACGAATAGAAAAAAGAATATTTTATATATTAACTAAAATTTATAATTAAAGTTATGGGTTACATGGTGAAAATGCTAGTTTATAATATTGCACTATAGACGTATATGTTAGTAAGAAGTTAATAAATAATGAATATAAATCATGTAGTGATTTATAACTTCAAAATATTTTGAAACCTTTGGTTCAGCAATAAATTATATATATATATATATATATATATATATATATATAAAGTACATAATAAAAAAAAGAATCTTTAGAACTAATTGCTAAACAATTATTGGAGATTGGTAATAAAAAATGCAAATGGACAAATCTGCAGACAGTATTATATCACCAGAAGTCTTTTTGTTGAATTATAAAATCTAGTTTGAATGGAAAAGAGTTTCCAAATTTATTTCAAAACTATTAAAATAATCATAAGCTATTAAAATAATCAATAAAAAGTGGGCGCGCTGTATTGGCAGCCCAAAACATGTAATTGAATTAAAAAAGTGCATAATTATACATTAAGTATCTGGTAATGACACTGTTGTGATAGTATCAACATCAACAGAATGTTTAAATTCATTAAATGTACTAGGAGTGCCACCGCATATATTATCATTGAAAATTGGTAACACAATCATTTTTCTAAGAAATATAAATCTACCACGACTTTTCAATCGGGATAGCTATCAGCAAAAAAATTTAGTGATTATCATTGACACATGGAAAACACCAAGGAAAAGATGTATTACTACCACGCAATCCCTTGATACCAACGAATACACCATTTGAATAACGATTATAGTTTGTGGTAAGATTAGCCTTGGAAAGAGCATTAATAAAGCATAAGGACAATCGATAAAAGTATGAGGCCTAAATTTAGAAAACATCCATTGGATCTTGCGCCTGATAGGAAAACAGAAATATGCATTTATAAGCATTGGAATGATAATATATTCATATTATCATTTTGTTTATTATGTTTAACAAGAGATATTTAGATTATTAAGTTCGCTTTTGTTGTTCTACTTAATAATTATACTACTAAATGATTAAATAGTTAACTATTATTCTCTAAAACCTCTTTAATGTTAAAAATAAAAAAGGTTGTGTTTTTGCCAACTGACTGGCTGTCCCTTTCATATAAATGGAAAAAAAATTTTTTTGAAAAATAGCAATTACTTTTTTTGTTCAGATCTTTAATTATATACGACATAGCTACGCGTGATGGGCTACAGCTAGTAAGCTATGAAACGTGTAATATTGATAATAATTGACTTACCATCAACATCAATATTTGACGCTGCCACTAAAACACGATTAGAAGAATCAATAAATAATTTTGCATAGCGTATTATTTTAAACAATATTTTTTCGAAATATGAAATATAATCAAACACTAAAACATTTTATAAATTATTCCAATTATACTCAAAACTCGCGAAAGTAAACATGGCGCCAAAGCACCTACGAGCAGTAACACACGCAAACAAGAACTGGCCTTTGCCCATCGATGAGGTAAACTGATTTATTTGCAATAATTCCAAGTGACACCAGATGTCATTGTATAATAGATGACATGATTTCAAATGTGGCATAGAACATTAAGGCGCCAAAATCAAATAGTCTTCCATGTTGACGTTATTATACTGACAAGCAATTTTGTACAAATGCGTTCATAATATTTTAGCATCATTTGAATAAATACATTAAAAATATAGATTTTAGCACAATGGAAAAACATAATCACATAAATATATAATTCGGCTGCAAGTTTCGTACAAATATTTATTTAAGAAATTGTTGAATTTGCAGAAGTAAAGGAATCTCATTAACAGCTTATACACTAACTTCAAAAATATATTGTTGCAATTGCTAATTTATTAAGTTGAATTATTGGATAACAATGAATTTCTATAATATTTAAATAATTTATGGGGCTTTCAAAATTATAATTTTGCAAAAATGCAATAAATTGTAATTCGAATTTTTTCACCGTTGGTTTTCATCAATATAAAAGCTCTTACGCGTATTTATTATGCATATTATTAATGAGATTTATCGAGAGTGCTGCGCTGACTTTTTGTCTTCATTGCTCGTAATATGTGATATCATAGAAAAATATAGACTTTTTTGAAGTAATCAAATTTTTCATTTTGATTACTATCTTTATATATTTGCACTTGTCTGAATTAGCTTGTACTTCATCGTTTTGTGTGTGGTGTGCGTTCTTTATGGATCAATTTGGAACAAGCTATTGGGTATTGCGAATTTCTTTTAATAATTTACTTCTTTAAGACGTATAATTTGAAAGATAATCTATATATAGTTGTATTTCGCAGGTTGAAGTTTTGTAATGATTTTACGTATCATATTTTGTTTTGAAAAAACAAGTGCATGTCAGATTGAATTTTACGGTTTATTATAATTGCATGAAAAGCTTACAAAAGTGTACAGATAATTAAATAATTGCTTACAAAAAACCATACATAATCGAGATTCTAATGTGCGTTTGTGGAATCAAAAAAATGTCTTACATTTCAATCAAGATATAGAAGCGAATATGGAATCGGACAGTAAACCATCAGAAATCCCAAAACTACGAAAGACCGTTATTGGATCCAGCAAATACAGCAAGATACCTCGCGAAGAAGGTCGGACCAATATGTTTACATCGGGAAAGGTCTCGCTGCGTTCAACTTCATCAGTTTCTGACTCAAGACAGGAAGTAATATCATCTAGTAATAGTGCATCTACAAGCCTCACTCAACCACATTCTGATGTCAAGAAACCTCCTAATTCATGGCAAGTAGTCAATTTCAAAAAAAGAAAAACTTCATTTGAACCATTAGGAATAGATGTCAAAATTCAAAACAGATTTTCGGCCCTTTCAACAATAGACACAGCTAATGATGACAACTTAGTTAAACCGGCCCCAGTCAGTAAGCCCCCTCCAATATTTATTTACGGAGTTGACGATATTAATGATATGTCTAATCAATTAAATGAAATAATTCCGCATGATCAATATTTCCTGAGAAGTTTAGCTAACAATACATTTAAAATTCTATGTAATTCTGTCGACCATTTTCGAACTTTATCCAGACATCTAAAAGAAACTAATGCCGTATATCATACATATCAATTAAAAGAAGAGAAGGCTTATAGGGTTGTTCTTAGAAATGTACACTTTTCGACAAGCACAGATGCAATTAAATTAGAACTATTAAAACAAGGTCATGTCGTACGTAATATCCTAAATATTAGACATAGAATAACAAAAGAACCTCTTAATATGTTTTTTGTTGATCTGGAACCAAATAGAAATAACAAAAATATTTATAACATTTATAAATTATTCAACTGCCTAATACGCGTCGAACCACCGAGAAAGTCCAACAACATTATACAATGCACTCGCTGTCAACTCTTTAATCACACGAAAAAATACTGCAATAGACCATTTGCTTGCCTAAAATGCGGTGACAATCATAATACTAAAGCTTGTACCAAAGATCCGAATGCTCCGGCATGTTGTTATTTTTGCGACGGTGCTCATCCAGCTAATTATCGCGGTTGCTCATACTTCCAAAAAATTAAAGAACAAAGAAACAAAACTCCAGTAAATCAATCAGTCATAAATCCAAATCCAAATAACCAAAATTTTAATAATTCTAATAATTCTAATTCTAATAATAAAATAAACAACATTTCTCCGGCCTTAAATCCAACAATTCAAAATTCATCCTATGCAGACATTTCAAAAAACAATTACTCTGCTTCTAATCATTCATCTTCAAATCCCGATTCTGATTCTCTAGCAACACTTATTTTAGAATTTAAAAATATCTTCAATCAGCTTTTGCAACAGAACACCATAATAATAAATATGTTATCCACGTTAGTCAACAACAAAAGCAATGGCAAAAATAATTAAAATTGCTGAATGGAATGCCAACGGTTTAATACCTCACAAAAATGAAGTAGAATGTTTTTTAAAGTTAAACTTAATAGATATCTTATTAATCTCAGAAACTCACTTCACTGAAAAAAACTACTTTAAAATTTATAACTACACTACTTATAATTCAAATCACCCAAGTGGCAGGGCTCGCGGCGGTTCGGCTATATTAATCAAAAATAATATAAAGCATTTTGTTCTACCAAATATTTCTGATGATTTTCTACAAGCAACTCAAATTTCTGTTGAAACAAATTTATATAATTTTTGTGTTTCTGCTGTTTATTGTCCACCAAGATTCAAAATTTCTTGTGCTCAGTTTTCTTCATTTTTCTCTCAATTAGGTAATAAATTTATCATTGGTGGTGACTTTAATTGTAAACATATTGCCTGGGGTTCTAGACTGACTACAGCCAAAGGAAAGATTCTTCATGCAGCCATAGGGCAAAATAACCTCTCCTTTATTTCAACTTGCAGTCCAACTTATTGGCCTTCTGACCCTACTAAAGTTCCAGACCTTTTAGATTTTTTTATTGTGAAAGGTATTGATCTTTCAAATCTCAATGTTGAATCTAGTTACGATCTCTCTTCAGATCATTCTCCAATACTTGTGACGTTTAGCACATTTCCTACTCCAGTTATCAACAATCATATTCTACACAACAATCATTCTAACTGGATTCAATTCAAATCCATACTTGATTCAAAATTATTTCCAAAATCTAGGCCTACAAGCGTTATTGATATAGAAAATAATATAGATTATTTTTCTGAGATTGTACGTGAAACAACCAAGCAGATCACCCCGAACATTATTCCAAGAAATGATAATCTAATAATTCCGCAAGAGATTAAGAAGCTAATTGCACAGAAACGAAGAGCAAGACGTACCTGGCAACATTCTCATCTACCAACGGATAAGACATCGCTCAATCATCTCAATAACACGCTGAGGAAAAAAATGAAAGAATGGAAGAATTGTACATTCAGGTCGTATATATTGCAGCTAAATAGATACGATAATTCCATATGGAAACCAATCAGAAACAAAAGTAAACCCCTACAACAAAACCCTCCTCTGAAAATAACCAACCAAAACGGATTCATTTGGGCAAAAAGCAACGATGAAAAAGCGGAGGCATTTGCTGATCATCTAAGTAGCATTTTTAGCGTTCGAAATATTTCCCAGAATAATTTAATTAACAATTTCGTAAATCAACCCATACATTCTACACCGTTAGGACATTTTTCACCAAATGATGTCTTATGTGAAATAAAAAGGATTAAAAATAGATCTTCGCCGGGTATGGATAAAATTACTCCAAAGATGTTAAAAAAATTGCCTACAAAAGGTATTTTATATATAACAAATATTTTCAATGCCATACTTCAATACAATTATTGGCCCACAGCGTGGAAGACTGCAGAAATTATTATGATCGCTAAACCAAACAAAAACCATCACACTGCTAGTTCTACCGTCCTATCAGTCTTTTATCGATATTATCGAAAATTTTAGAGAGACTTTTGTTGCAGAGATTGTCAGAAGATCATCCGAATGATAGTTGGATTCCTCACCATCAGTTTGGCTTCAGAAAAAATCACTCTACAATTCAACAATGCAACAGAACGGTGTCTCGTATTCTTGAAGCCATGAATAGAAAGGAACACAGCGTAGCCGTATTCTTAGATGTTAGTCAGGCTTTTGATAAGGTTTGGCACTCAGGACTCCTATATAAAATCAAAACAACTTTTCCAAACTACTTCAATATCTTAAGCTCATATTTGCTTAATAGAAAATTTAGAATCAAAATTAAAGATGTGACTTCGAGCATCAGAAATATAGAATGCGGGGTACCACAGGGCAGTGTGCTAAGCCCTGTACTTTATCTTCTTTTCTTAAACGATATGCCCACAGATGATCTTTTAACCATATGCACTTACGCCGATGACATAGCAATTATTTCATGCAATTCCGATATTAGAACAGCAACTTGTCAGTTACAAAATTATTTATCTAGTCTCGAAAAATGGTTTTTAGATTGGAATATCAAAATCAATATCGAAAAATCTCAGCACATAATTGTTTCTCTAAAACATCACAACAGTCCACCTATCATCATGAACAATTCAATAATTCCACTTTGCAATTTTGTTAAATATTTAGGCATGCACATTGATTCGAAATTGACATGGAGAACGCACATTGAATATAAAAAGAAACAAATCCAACTGAAAATAAAAGATTTTTACTGGCTTTTTGGGAGGAAATCTGAAATCTCTCTCGATAACAAGGTACTTTTGTATAAAACTATCATAGTGCCCATTTGGACTTATGGAATCGAACTATGGGGTTGCTCATGCAAATCTAACATAAACATCATTCAAAGGTGCCAGAATAAAATTCTGCGTATCCTTACTAATGCGCCTTGGTATATTTCGAATTTTTGCCTACATAAGGATTTGAAAATCTCAACAGTCAACGAAATGATCAAGATTAGAAGTTCATCTTTCAACA